TCTTGTTTGACTTTATGCTTTGAATGGATTTTAGATTTCCAGATTTTGATTTGGTTTTTGAGACTTTTGTTTGAGATCAAATTCAGGTTTCTCTTTAGTACCATCTTGGCTTAAACACTACAAACAAATTTGTCACTTGGTAAGCGGTTTGGTTTGGGTAAACCGGGAAATACCGGTAACTGAACCGAAGTTGACCGGGTGGGGTTTTAGGATAAACGAGGAAGCCATTATCGTCGAGTACCGAGAGCTATCTTTCTTCTGACAAAAGAATTAACAGAAATTTATCATATAAAGTCGAATACAATCCACTGAAGTACTTCTTAACTCGTAAGCAATTGCGTTTTGTAATCCTTCTCTTCTCTTTTATATTCGAAAGGTTTCAAATTTTCGTTATTTTTCCCGATTCCGCTTCCATCATGATTTTGCGGCTGTGAATTGGAAGTAGAAAGGTCTGTCCTTTTTCTGTATGAAATGGTGCATAGCAGGTGTTCGACGAAATGCGTTCGCTCGAATTTCTCTGGTTCATTTAGTAACATTAGCTCTGATTGGGATGTAACTGTGAAGTATTGATACCCATTTCCTTCTCTTGGCTAATATAGTATCTTGAGACTATTTTCCTTGACGTATTTCGTGTTAATCATCCTGTGTTTCTCTATAATTAACACTATATCAACAAATGTTTCTTGCAGGTAGTGAAAGCTGGTGGTTGATTCTTGTATGCTTGTTAGCTCTGTTTCAAGCTGAACAAACCTAATTCTATTGGGATTTGTCTCCATTTTTTAGAATGGTAGTTTGATAAACCTTCATTAGAATTGCCTTTTGTTGTAACCTGTGCTGCAAAAATGTCTCTGGTTTGCTCTTCATCTTGTGTAGCTCCCTTGCCACAGACTAAACGGTCACGTCCAAGTTTTCTGAAACTCAAAACATGTACCTTAAGTCTACCTTCTTCTATCGGCTACCCTAATATTGCCACTGGTATTGGGAAGCACATCGATTACTTGTTGCATAAGCTTCGTAGGCTAGAAAAGAGTCGGATATTAGTTAGTCAGCAGGAATCTTTTACAGAGAGCAGCACAATAGATATTGATTGGGAGGATCGGGAGGAAATCGAGGATACCGGGTCACCTTGGGAAGGTTCGGTTATGTATAGGAGAAATGCTTCAGTCACACATGTCGAATATTGCACTACCTTAGAGAGGCTTGGGTTGGGAAGATTGTCCACGGAGGTCTCGAAGTCGAGAGCTTCCTCAATGGGACTAAGAGTGACAAAAGATGTAAAGGATTACCCGGACGGGACACCAGTTCAAGTTTCGGTCGATGTTATAAGGAAGAAGAAGAAGCTGAGACTTGATGGGATTGTCAGGACTGTTATCACACTTGGCTGCAACAGGTGCTTTCTTATGAACTCATCATAGCTTATTTACTATCTTGTGTTGCATCAACTTTGTTATTTACCGGTTTTCTCTTATTGTTTGAAGATGTGGTGAGCCAGCAGGTCAGAGTATCTTCTCCAACTTCTCGCTATTACTAACCGAAGAACCAGTTGAAGAACCCGATGTCATTGATTTCACATTCGGTAATGACAAAGCCAATTCATTTTCTGGATTGTC